GCAAAATAACGTAAATTGCTGGAAATGAAGTTCCGATAAGTTTAACACATCACTTACCGATTTCTACTAGCTTAATTCAAAGGTGGTTGTGGTGAGCGCCAGCTACTGAATAGTAGCGAACAATGTTGGGATGCGACGGTTAGGATTCGGGCACCTTTTCGGGGTCAAGCGCTGCAGCGTTGGTCCGATTAGGTAAAATATCTGGCAGCTCTCAGTTAATAGAAGCTATTAACTAAATATGGGACTGAGGCTACCTTGACCTTTTTATGGTCCGCGCTGGTTAAAATGCAACGCTGAGTGCTAAGTGTTCCGGGACACACTCGATCCTTGCAGCTTCACCAGCATTCAACGTCTTACAGACACTGAGGCTATTAAAGCTGGTACTTCCTTAAGAGCATTCAAAGGGAGCTGCTGAGCCGACTACGGGCCGACCAGGATCACACCAGCCACCGCTGCCATTTTTTTTGCATAGACGCTTGACTACCCGACAGACAGTCCACTAGCGCGATAGTGCCACCAAAATGCACTATTCACAAGTGTCGAATCATCTTACGCGCTTCACAGGAGTAGGGGGAACACAGGAGAAGTTGGAGAAGCCGTCTTGAGTAGCAAGTAGCAAAAGAGAAAGTGAGTGATATTTGTGGAGTTTAAAGGAGGCACACGTGCCTCAGTACCAACAGTTTAGAACCGCCTAAATTAGAGCGGTTCAGAGTGAATGACTTACACAGGTTTGTGTACAAGTGATGTGGAGAAGACCAACATTCACAACAAGTTAAAGACGCAATACCTGATGCACTAGAGCTATTAATAAGCTTATTTTGTCATTACTCGACAAACAGTACTGTAATGGGCTCGCTGTGTGCCCACCACTTCGGCTTACTCGTTAGCGCACGTGTATGAGGAAGCGTAGTTTGCTTAAACTTAGATTATCTATACTTACGAGACGTAAGTACCGATGCAAAATGCTCGGTGAGACGCAAGCGAGCAAGGTGAGTCAGCTTAGATGGTTTGACGGAGTGCACGCAGAAATATCAGAAAGCGACAATAACAAAGGCATGAGTCGCAATAGTGTTTTGTTGAGGTGGATGAGCTGATGATGCTCATAAGGATGAGTTTCACGACCATCATTCTATTTAATGTGTATTGAGTACCAGCAATATCGTCTTCGATGGTGAAATAATTTAGGAATTCTGATGTATTCGTATTTGTTGTGTGGTGTCGCCATAAGAACTTTATACCATCGTTCATGTCGTTGCAGTGTAATTACTCTGGATTGAGAACCAGAGAGCAGCTGATAATAGGTTTATTGATATTAAGTTTACATTAACTTGAAAAGTATATCGGATCACATTGGTGACACATTCAAGAAAGAACACTAGGTTGTTCGTGCTGAGGCGTGCATTACTAGTTTAACTACAACGATCTACGCCGCGACTACAATGCAAAAGTAGCGCTATCACCATGGTAATATAGTCGCCGCGACGAGCTATACCTTGTCCAACAATAATTTCGCCCAGAACCAACATCTCGCACAAATTGCGCGGGTAAACTGCAGTAGACTTGGATCTGGATTCACGGTAGCTGTCATTTCGCCGTTTAAAATTTCCACATCAAGTGACAGGCAATCCTCAAGTGTGGTGTTAGCCAAAAATGTATGGCTTAACCCACTGTGACCTTTCAGCCGTTGTTGGCACTCCCTCGCCGGCAGCTTGAGATAGCGCCCAATGATTATCCCCTCCTGGATTAAG